CGCGGCCCGGGCCCCCGGAGGGGGGGGGGGGGGGGGGGGGGGGGGGGGGCATATGGACCAGGTGGATCCAGGAACTAGACGTGTTCTCTTCTCAACCCCCCCCCCTCTTGGGACGTTGCCTCCTACTCTGTACAGGCTCCGCCCACTGTGTTCAAGTGGCGTCCAGTCTCTACATCTCCACACTCCTGAAGAAGCCTTTTCACGGGCTCCACTGCTTCTCTGGTGCCGGGGGGGGAGAGAGCTGGGGAGGAGATCGGCAAACCTCCATTCACCGATCCCCTCCCCATACTATGGGACCGGGAGAGACGCAGAGTACATCACTTCCGATCCCATAGCTGTCATTGGTCGGCTCCCGAAGCCTGCGATCTGCACTCCAATAGCTTATTTGAAGTGTAAAGGTGACACTGGGGGGGGCTTTTGGACCCCCAGCATCACCTTAAAGAGGACCCGTCACCACCATCTGCTATCACATGGGGCAGTGATGGCGAACCTTGGCACTCCAGCTGTTTTGGAACTACAAGTCCCATGAGGCATTGTAAGGCTCTGACAGCCACAGACAACTCTGAGGCAGATGCATCTTGGGATTTGTAGTTTTGGCACAGCTGGAGTGCCAAGGTTCACCACCACTGACATGGGGGGTCTTGTAAGCTCCACTATGTGATAGCAATTAAGAAAGAAAAGTTTTTAACCACTTGCTGACCGCGGTGTTACACCCCCTTCCTGTCCCGGCCATTGTTCAGCGCTGCGGTACTTTGACTGACGTTTATTCCGTCATGCAACGATGCACTGAAATTAATTTTATACAATTTTTTAGAGACAGATGGAGCTTTCTTTTGGTGGTATTTAATCACCACTGGGGGGTTTATTTTTTTACTATATAATGAACAAAGTACCAAAAATTTGGGAGAAAAAAACCTGTTCTCCCTACGTTACGTAATTAAAACAAATTATTATTACCCACATTTTTGGTAAAATATAAAAGATCGGGTCACGTCGGGTAAATAGACACCAAACATGTCAAGCATTAAAATTACGTGCGTCCGCGAACTCGCAAGAACTACCATACCCAAAATCGGCCATAGGCGACGCTTTAAAAGCTTTTACCGCTTATCAGTGATTGATGGGCGGAGAATTATTGCTTTCACTGCGACGTTTGCGGCGATACGTAACATGTGCGGCGTAATGGATGCAATCATCGTTTACGCACTTAGGCGCACTCGACGCACGTTTGTATGTGGGGGGCGGGGGGACTTAAAAAAAATGTTTACATTACCTTTATATGCGATTAATTTTTTAAACATTTTTTTTTCCACTTAACTTTATTGCTATCACATAGGGGACTAACAAGCCCCCTTTGTACGGCTCTGTGCCGTGACAGGGGGAGGGGCTGAATTCCCCCCTCCGATCCGCCAGCGCTGACTGGCGGAACGGACGGGGGAGGGGGCGGGTACAGCTAGCTCTGCCTCTAGATAGTTGTCAGTCACGCAGCTGGGCGGATCCAGACATCGATGTCGGGATCCGCTCCAGGTGCAGCGTCTCCGTATACCGCGAGCAGCAGCTCCCTATATACTGAGCTTAGGGTGACGGGAGGACGCTAGTTTGTGTCCTTCCGTTACCCTAAGGAGAACTATGGGGGAAAGACTTAACCCCATAGTTCTCCTTTAAGACCCCTAATGTCACCTATGGACCCCCAGAGAAGCTGATGAAGCAAACACTTGCTTCACCAGCTTCTGTACCAGCGAGTGACAGAGGAATGCAGGAAGTGATGTAATACACATCACTTCCTGCATTCCGAAGGAGGAGATCGTATACTGACCTCCGGCCGCAGAGCTGCTATGCTGGTCCCGGGCTCACACCGGGAGCAGTGGAGCCCGGGAATCGCCAGCACCGGGGGGGCGCACACCCATTACAAGCGATCGGGTCGTCTCAGCCATCGCTGGCCGTTTACATTCCAGGCCGATTTCCCGCTCGTGCGCTCAGTTTAAAAACGCCCGCCCGCATTCAAGAAGCCGCCGTCCGGCCGTTTAATGACAACAGGTGGTAATGAATTAGCTCCAGGTGCTCACAAAGTGAATCTTCAGAGCGGTTCTGGACCTGGAAAGCGCAGCTAACAAGACCAGAAATGGAGTCTGAAGAGAACCTTATGCAGAACCCAATGCTTCCACTCCCCCCCCCCCCCCTTTTTTTTCTAGAAAACCCCCCAGCCCCCCCCCCCCCCCCCCCCCAGGTCTGGACACAGCACTCCAGAAGCCAAATCAAATACCAAAGCCGAGCTGTGTCACATCCACCTCCCCGGGTTCAGAATGTCCCATTGTACAATGACCGGAACCCCCATACACGTATCACAGTGGGTGCCGATATGGACTGCGGATGGCACCGCGTAGATCTAGATACATGAAGATAAGCCACCAGCACAGAGGGTCCACTTCATCCAACCATGTGATACCCATATTTGTCTGACGTCGAATAAAAGACAGAACCACAAAGTGGACCCTCGGTGTGCTGGTGGCTTATCCTCATATATCCATCCTCCCGAGGCACGAGCAAAGAACGGAGGCACGCTGGCAGGAGGAGGGCCTTGGCTGATCTACAGATTTATTGTCCTCCAGTGTCCATTCCTTCAGGAGGCGGCAGTATAACCCGAAAGCGAGTCTTCCTATGTCCCTCAAGAAATGGAGGTCTCCTGTCCTTCTACACAGGTCTGTGCTGTGTGGCAGAGCTGTGTAAATATCAGGGCTGGGTAACACAAGTCCCTCGTATGCATTTAATCCGGATAAAGAGCAAAATGCTTCAGCTCTGCACTGGTAGGCCGGCACCTCAGATTGGACCAGTGTGGGTTGGCTTCTGTAGGCTTCTTACCCGGCTTACCACGGCTGTGTAACAAGCGAATGCAAAGTTACTGGAGAATGCTTTTTATTGTTTTCTATAAAATATATATAAAATGAACAACAAACAGAACGATAAAAATTCTAAGAAGAGAGAATTCTGGTAAATGAACCTTCCCCGGTGCAGTGCGTGCAGGAGACCTGCGTTCCGGAGGGACTCGCACATACAAAAACCTCTCTGCGCGGAGCCGACCGACAGAGCGCAGGCGTCCCTGAGCACGCTGCAATAAAGTGAGCTCAAACCTGAACCAGGCTGCAGCGGTATTGTACCTCAGTCCACTCAGGATGACCCACCGGACTCCTGCCCCATATACCAGGTAACCCGCGAGCTGCAGGACTCGGATTTAAGATAACAGAAGTTGGGGGAAAGTATTTACCGGCGTGACGAGAACAAACATAAATAAAACAATGTAAAAGGGAAACAGTCCGGTACAGCACACGGGCTGCGAATAAAGAACAAATAAAATAAAAGCATTTCATTCGCTGGGCGGTTCCTCTAACAGTCCACAACGGCACACGGGGTGCAAATAAATAAAATGGGGGCGTATCAATCGCTGGGCAGCGTCTCCAACAGCTCCGCCTTCCGCTTGTATTTGTCCCGGATTTCTCGCAGATCGGCCAGCATGTCCTCCTTCATGAACTCCTCGTACTCGCGCTCCGTCTTCAGGCGCCTCTCCTCCAAGTGTTTCTGAAATGGAAGAGGACTAAAATCAGAGAGAACACCAGTATACTTCACCAACTGGGGAAACTGGTGCTTACTGGATAACCGGAGAGACTTACAGGATTTGCACCTATTGGCTAACCGGAGAGACTTCCAGGATTTGCACCTATTGGCTAACCGGAGAGACTTCCGGGATTTGCACCTATTGGCTAACCGGAGAGACGTCCAGGATTTGCACCTATTGGCTAACCGGAGAGACGTCCAGGATTAGCACCTATTGGCTAACCGGAGAGACGTCCAGGATTAGCACCTATTGCCCAACTCGGAGAGACTTCCAGGATTTGCACCTATTGGCTAACCGGAGAGACTTCCAGGATTTGGGCTTATTGGCTAACTGGAGAGACTTCCAGGATTTGCACCTATCGACTAACCGGAGAGACTTCCAGGATGTCCCACTGCTCCATGGACACACAGGATTCAGGAAGTGGTGGTGGCTTCTTCTCCTTCCCTGCAGATGCCAGCACTGTTTTAGGGTGAGGAGGTACTGCAGGGAAGAAGGGACTGGCCACACTGGTCAGAGGGTCACTATTGCTCTGCAAGAAGAATCTGCCAAAAGCTTCTAAAAAGGTTATTGACTTTGCATTATGACATTTTCTGATGTGTTCCGACACCTCTCCTAATAGAGAACTCAATCTTTGAGGACACCTGACCACCACACACCTATATAAAGCTTGCTGGACTTCCCATTCCTAAATCATGACCATACGGAGCAGCCTCTACAAGCTTTTGGAGGGTGTCTATGGGAATGTGCCCCACGTGTGAGGTCAGATACTGATGCTGGATGAGAAGACCGGGCTCACAGAGTTCGAGTTCCTCCACACCAAGCTGGTCACACCATGTCTTTATGGTGTACACAGGGGACAGTCATGGTGGAACAGAAAAGGATATCACCAGAACTGTTACCACGAGGCTGGAAGAGCACAATTGCCTAAAATCTAAAATTTACTGAAGGTTTAGCACATTAATGGACAAAAAAAAAACAA